GTGCTAACCCGAATGACACCGTAGCATTTACAGTGTGATTTAGGATATTAGTTTTGTGACATGGCGACAGCCGCAGAGCCTCTAGGTGCAGCCCCTGGGGTCCAGGGAGGCTCTGTTTTCCCAAGTGAGATTTTCAATAGTTGGGGTGCGTACAAATGGCCACTTTTAATGTTTTAATATTCTGACCCTCTCATTTTAACGTGGTTGTTCTGTGTCTTGGTCTTACGTCATATTGTAATCAAGATTTCCTTTGTTCCCTTTTTAAAACAGATTACTTTTGTGATTTATGCTTATCAGGACAAATAAACACCTAGCTGTTGGTGGTGGCAGTGTCACCAGCTAGCGTGGGCCCTTGATGTAGTGATAATGGATATTAAACCTGAAATAATGAAATGAATTTAATAAAAAATGGTTTAATAAACAAGTAAGAGAAGATAAAAGGGAGCACAGGTCTGACAGAGATCAAGCCACCCCCGAGCAAAAGAAAGGAAAGGAAGAGAAGATAGGAAGCAGTCAGGGCCAGAATGACCCGTTCACAGAAGAACAGAGACCAGTTTTATGGGGTGGTATGGTGTTCAGGGTTTGCTAGCCCTGAGGCGTTGTCATGACTTGCGAGTCAGTCCGGTGAGATGTCAGTCTCTGCTGGCATGGTCTCAGGCCTGGGAGGCGCTGCTGGAATACAAGGTGAACGAACATAGCCAGCCACTGGGCATTTCTGGGTGTAGCTGAATGTCCTGTAAATCTCTTACATCGGGGTGCTCAGCCCTGAAGGGAGATAAGCTACGTCAATTTAGGGCTCATAAACCTTGTTTTGCCAGCTCTTAAGCAGGCACTCCCTACGTGACTAACATGCCTATATGCAGAGCTAAGAAGGGATCTGACCCAGAATTTTACAAAATGAAGGTCAAGCTTTGTTCTACTTTTAGGTACCTATTGGGCATCTGGGGCCAAGTGAAGAATCACAGTTTTTAGGAAAAAAATGGCTTTTAAGTCTTTGACTGCCTGTGAAGAAAACGATTCATATTTCTAAGGAGTCGCAGGTTAGAGGCCCAGGAGTTTGTCCTCTGTTCCTGAGGAGGTGGTCTCTGTCGGGCAGGGAGGGAGCAAGGCTCTGATGCCCTTCATGTGACATCATTTAACCTCTTGTTGGGTCAACTCACACCCAAGAACAACTGAACCGAATTAATGTTGGCCTTAAATTATGCTAGTAGATGTGAAATGTTCTTCTACCACAAAAGAAATCACTTATTTTCTTCTTCATGACCACCAAATTTTTATGTTTGCACTGAGCTGATATCAAAGCTCTCAGGTAATATAAACAAAAACAGAATCATAGGTACAAAGCATGAATTAAGACGCCAACAACTGTCACACAGAGATGCTTGCTTGGAATTTTTTACTTGAAGTTTGTTGGAAAGTTTCTTAATTTTCTTCCTTTTGCAACAATCCTGTACTTGGTGGGTTTACAAGATTTTCACTACTTTTATATTTTTGGTATTCTCCTGAGAAATAGATCAAGGATATTTCAGGGAGATTTCTAAAGTAATAGTGCTGAAGACAAAGATTAGTCTGTTGTTTTAAATAAGAATGACATTCAGGTAAATCGAGTAGACCAAGAAAAAATATTTTTTATCAAGAGTTTGATACTTATATTGGGAATATCTTTGTATATCCTTTCGTTGGACTCTCAACAGAAGCCCTTGGTTGAGTGCTATTGGTAACTAGGCATCAGCTGAAATGGATGTAGTCATTTGTCTTAGATTCTGTGAGGAACAGGTGCCCTCATTTAAGTGGTAGGCAGAAGAAAAATATGACATAATTTTAATCTGAAAGTATCTCATTTTAAGTCTGCTGAAAGTGGGAACACAAAAACAGGTTTTCACTGGCATGGAGCTACACCGTGCATTCTCGCAGGGCTCTGTGATACACCTTCTCTGTCGTCTTTTGCCTGGACTCATGTTAACAAACTGAGCATGGTTTGCAGAAACCCTAAGGGGGGACCAGAGCCCCGGAGAGAGCTGGAAGGTTCATTTACAAATGTGTTTATTTTTTGATCAACGGGCTAGATATAGTTATTGTAGGTGGGTAGTATTTGTCCCGTGGGTCTGAAACTTTGTCATATTGACCAGGTTCATCAAAATAGATGTACATTGTACATATGGATATTTGAATTATTCTGGAATTCTCTTCTCTTGTTTTAAACTTAATATGAAATTTAAATTTCTGGCTATGGTGTGCTATTTTTATAGGATGGATGGAAACATTTAAAAATGTTGCTACTGTTTTCAAAGATTTCAGTCAACAATTCTCTTGACTAACAAATATTTCTTGAACTCTCATTGTGACTAATTCACTGTCCATCTGTTGGCAGAGGAGGAGCCTGAGACATAGTTTCTGTACTCCAGATTGTGTCTTTACCAAAACAGACACCAGATCACTAGTTGTTGAATCATACAGTGCAATAAATACATTAATAGCTAGTGCTCATCATTTGTAAATGAATTCAGAGAAGAAAGCCTGTGGGTTGTTGTTCTGCTCCCTGTTGTGTCTCTGTGGGCTGGAGGAGTTGCAGGCATGTAGTGGGTTCTTGGCACATGCTTGTTGAGTGAATGACCGTGTAGTTGTGTTCAGTTAGAGTTGTGGGATCTAAGGGAGGAGCTTCGCTTTTGGTTGGGCCAGTTGGTGAAGGCTTCCTGGAGTAGGTGGGATTTTAACTAATGAGAGAAAGGAGGGAGGGCCATCCTGAAAGAGGCAGTGATGTGGAGGCTTCTAAAGACACATTGGAAGTTGTAGAGCTGCAGCAGCTGCGGGCTGTTAAGGCAGATTTTGGCAAGCCAGGCTTGTTTCTCTGTTGAGTGGAGAGTGAAAAGGATATTGTAGAAAAACTAATCTAGAGAAGTTATGTCAGAAACATTAAGAAAGGGGAAATTGTGAAGCATATATTTAGGCATATATACAGGCTCAGTGATTAAATAGGTTGGTGAAGGATAGAAAGGTGTCCAAGATGGTGATAATCTTGAGCTTCATTGGCTGGATAATAGTGAAAGCACAAACAAAAATCAGAAGGAACATTAGCATTTTGGGGAAGATCTTTATATTTCAAATCTCTTCATGTTTAAAGTAACAGGGGCAATTCACTGTGGACTGATGGAAATCACAGAAACACGTAATATTGGACTGAAGAGAGATCTTGGAGATTGAATCATTCTTTAGACTCACATATAGCCTTATTATTTTGATAACAAGAAAGGTGACTGGGTTCTAGAATAGCCCCCAGTAATACAACATGTTGCCCAGACACAAAGTGGGGTGGCAGATGTGGAGCCCTTTATAATGTTTTAAAAGATACTTAAATAGTAGTTCTTCATTTGCAGTTTGATTTTTTTTTCATGTTAAATTTGAAGAGTCATTTATACAAATAGGTGCAAGTGCCCCATCTATATCATACAAACAGTACCTTGTTAGATTGAGGTAAAGACCTTTAAATATTGAGCAGTGTATTCATTTATTCTTACGAGTGAAAACAATCTGAACCTGGCCCCCGAAGTAATATTCATGATGATTTTTTGTCTGCCTCGCCGTAGCCATAACACCTTGACATGTTTATGTGTAGTAGGCTCTGTATGGTTATCAGTGGGTCGAGGTTTACTCCCACTTCCAAACACTGCAAATGTTCTTGGACTTCGGGTCATGGGCCTTAGGTGCCTCTCCATCGTTAGCCTCTCTCCACGGGTTTTAACCCATTCTTTCTTCTGCCTGGCATGCCACTAAGAAGGATGGGATGGTTATAAGCAGAATTGGTTCCAAATGTGCATTTCAGACAAATGATAGGGCTCTGGAGGAAGGTGAGAGCCAGGTCTCACCTTTGGCATATCTGCTTTTGTTCTTCAATTCCTGTTATATGTGAGGACAGAAAATAATGTCCGCCTTCGACCTCACCCGCTTTTTATCTGCCTGCTCTACCCCTCAGCATGCAGATGCCACACTGGCTTTGCCTTCCGGAGCCCACCAGTGATCTTCCCATGCTGATCTGCTCTGAAAGGGTGTGCCTTTGGTGACTTCTTTGCTTCCAGCCATCTGCCTTTCTGGGCCCACAGCTCCATGGAGGGAGGCGGGATGCTGAGTGGACATGGGGGAAGAGCCCCGTATTTCCTTTCCCTAGTGAAGGGAGACAATGAAGTGAGTGGCTAGGAATGTGTCGCATGAAAATGGGTAGGAACCAGCTCTTTCACAGTAACCGGAAGTATGGAATACAGTACTTAAGCCTGGGCCACTGCTAGCAGGGAAGCCAATGACCATAAAATAGTAACATCAGGTAATTTACCATCATGACCCTAACTCTTCCTTGAAGAATTAGGATTCTAATTCTTCCACTCCACTCTTCCTCCACTGCAGTGATAGCACCGAAACAAAAAGAATGTTGGTCTTCCAAATTTATTGTAACCTAGTTGCTAGCAGTAGTAGCTTTAGCTTTGTAACTGTCTTCAAAGGAGTCCTGAGAGTTTAACAACCCATCTGGAGGCCAAGTATTTGAAAATTTAGTGATCCTAAGTAGTGAGATGACAGTGAAATCTTGATTGCCTCCTGTGTGAGATTGGAGAGGGAGAAGGAGAGATTCAGTCTCCTTGGCAGATTCACAAGGCTGGGGCTCTAGGTGGTGGACACAGGCCCTTCAGTAGTAACAATTAGCCTTGCTTGAGAGGAGAACAAAACTTCCATGTAGACGTGGGCAACTTCTGCCATTGCTAGCTCGAGAGTATTCCTTTCAATCTGACTGGGACTAATGAACTACATTTCAGCCTGACGTCTTCAGGAATAGGCGGGCTCCTGCTTCTGCAAATGCCATATGAAAAGTTGCCCACTATTCTTGGCGTTATGGATCTAATGTACCAGACCGAAGGATACTTGCTCTTTTAAGCTAACTGAACCAGCTGACCCCTGCATGGCTGAGTTGCTATGATACCAACTCCGTGACCTCTCTTCTCTGTTGTGGAATGTAGGTAACAAGACTGGAGCAGAGCCGGATGATGTTGAGCTGGTAAGACTGAGTAAGAGGCTGGTGGAGAACGCGGTGCTCAAGGCTGTGCAGCAGTACCTGGAAGAAACCCAGAACAAAAAGCAGCCAGGGGAGGGGAGCTCTGTGAAAGCAGAAGAGGCCGATGGGAGTGGCAATGGCAGTGATAACAACAGGAAATGAGACTGGAACTGGGGTCCCGGCTGTTCTGTGGAAACGCATCCCTTCTCCCCTCTGCTAAGTCTGGACGCTGACCTGCCATGTGCTGTTTAAGTGTCCCTTGTCTCATCCAAGGAGATGGCCTAACACTCATGATCGATGTGTTTGCATTTCTGAAACACAACAGAAGCGAAGCGGAGTCCTTGGGACTAGCAGAGGAAGTTAGTTTATGGAAGAAAAATGGGCCAAGTTTCACTTGCCCTCAGCCGAGCACAGGGAGGGAGGGGCACTCCGGGTTCCACCTGCCTCGGGACCCAGAGGCCGGGAGAGGCCTGGCCCTGAATGAAATACTGCCACTTCTATTGCCTAGGGCATTTGACTACTTCATCTGAGGCCAAACACACACTGCTGTCAAGTGCAAAGTTTAATTCATCACTGTCGAAATTATCTTCTGTCCATAATGTTTCATGTTTGTCCTTCATGTGCTATCGCTATGCACTGATCTTCATTTACAGTAATTTGTGTTTTATGTACATGATATATTTTTGGCAAAACACAACCTTTTCTATAAAATGGGCAACATTTTAAAGGTTTTTTTTTAAGCCTCATTTTGATAAGTCAGTGTATCATGTTTAAAGTTTTTCATTGACATTTGTACTTTAAATGTATTATATAATTTTTTTCCCTTTAGGCAAGAAACCTATTGGAACCCAAGACTTAATTAATGAAGCTTTGGAACAAGAAAGGATGGGTCTGAAGTCCAAAGTGAAGCAGATAAAGGAACTTTTATTAATGCCTGAGACTCAGGCCAAAATTAGGAGGGAGCTTTTTGAAGGACAACACATTAATAACAGTAATCAAGTTGATTTCAGTGCAACTTGGCTATAACCCTTTCCTAGCTATTAGGGTAGCATAGTTAAAAAAATTTCTTCAGCTTGTTAAATAGCTTGTTGGTAAACACCAAAGTGTTCTGAGAGTTTCTACGCAACAGTAAACCAATATTGGGTGAGGAATTAACAATTTCTTGCCAAAGAAAACTGATTTTTGCCCTATTATTTTCTGAGCTGCTCTTGTGTTTTAGGATGTTTCAGTAATAATGAGTCATTTTATAGAAATGACTTTTTAATGAGCTGTTGTGAGATGTTCATCAGGTCCTTGTAGATAAAAAGCACAGACTGAAAAAATCATCTGCAGACAAAACAAAACAAAACCAACAGTATTTTAAGTGTCACTTGCCTCCTGTCAACAAGATCGTTATTAAATCAAAAGAAACATCATCCAGGTGTGTCTACATTTAGTGTTACTTTTAATGAGAACTTGAGTGTTTTTTGAACATTAGTACTTGAATGAACATTTATAAATGTAATAATTGCAATCACTGGTTGAGAATGTTTTATAATATCCATGTGTATTATTTTTCACTGATCAGAGATGTAGTTTGCTTTGTCATTTCTTAATGAATAAATGTTTAGGATTTTTATTTTCTACTTTTCTGAAGATAAACCCCGGGTCTTATGTATCCCTTGTAATTTGAATTTGTTTGCACTGATTCATTTTTAAAGAGCATTCTTGAAAAATTTCTCCCTGTGTGGTGATTATTAGTAACAGCTTTTTCTATATTCACTGTAAAATTGCTGCTACTAATAGATCATGATGGAGGGGGAAACAATTGGAGATCAAATATGTAATCATTCAAATATAAAATCCAGCTTGCTCATGGATTTTAGCTATTTTTTCACTGAGTAAATTATACTACTTTATTCATAAATGAGTTTATGCATTTTCATGCCTCTTAATGAATGTTTTGTTTTCCCTTGTTGCCTTTCCTCTTTTTTTCTCACTCTTGGAAGTTGTTGGGTCCACGTTGGTAAATGGAAGTCACACATGGGAGCTCTGAGAGTTTCAGTGTTTCTTCATCTTTATGCTCCTGTCTTCATGCCTTAGAGCACAGTGGTCAAAGCACTATCAACTTTAAAATCATTTCAGCCATGGTGGTGCGTGCTTATAATCCGAGCATTTGGGAGGCTGAAACAGGAGGATTTCTGTGAGTTCATGGCCAGCCTAGGCTACATGGTAAGTTCAGGTTCAGCTTGGGCTTCATGGTTAGTTCAAAGCCAGCCTGAACTACATAGTGAGACCCTGGTTTAAAAAACCAAAACCAAACCAAACAAAAATTCAAATTGGCTTCACAGAATTAACGACTGAACTTTAAATTGAAATAGCATCCTATAAACATCTAAAATCACGTTGGTGATGTGACTCAGTGACAGAGAGGGAAGGAATAAATGCATCTAGGTGCAGAGCCTGCAGGGCTAGAGGGCTTTCCTGGCTGCCTTGGACACAGAGCAATTTTTGGCCTAGCCTTGTTTTGCAAGTGAGGAAACAAACTCCAAGAGTTGAGTTCCTTATCCAGGGCCAGGATGCTGTTAGGATATGGACAGAACTGCAGTTCAGGGCCCTACCTCAAGGTTCCAGTGTTACCTTTGTAATCTGTAATTTGGGCAAACATTTTAGGAGAGGTCGGACTCCGCAGTGTCAATCTTTAAATATTTTACCCTCAAGTCATCATTCCCAGTCCACCTGAATAACTCACAGGATAAAATGTATAATTTTGGCCATCTAGGCTCCATGCCTCCCTATTTATTATTCCACCTGAGAATCATAGTTCCCATTTGTTAAGTACCTGCTAAGGCCCAGGTTCTGTGCCAAGCAATTTGGGCACATGGTTGTTTATCCCCTGAGTGATCCTGTTAGAAAGTAATTGGTACTTTTGCAGATTCAGAAACTGGAACTCTATATGGTTAAATGGCCCACTGTCATAAAGCTAATAAAAGAGAGGGCTAAATTTAAGCTTGAATCTGCTCTACTGCAAGGCTAATACTTCTCCCAATGCAGCAGTTCCGGTCTCCACCAAATACATCGTATTTCACAAATTGAAGGTGCATAACAAAAGGAGAGCCACTTTCTTTTGATTAAACCAGCTTCCTTGCAGCCCTGAATTTCTATGATTATAGATAAGAACGGTCAGCTGGTATGATAGAACTAGAACACAGAAGCCCAGACATCTAATTTAAGGATTACGGATCAATTTAAGGATTACTGATCCTTATCAGTGACATCTCCATTTAAGCAGCTTTATAAAAATAATTGAAGGGATAAAATAAGTTTTCTTCATTTTCCACTTAAAAATCTTACAAGACACTAAATCATAAAAATCTAAGTGTGGGATCTGAAATTTTCCACATGACTTTATTGCCACTCATCAGGATGACAGAATAATTGCTCTTTGGGTCGCTTATCCAGAGTGTGTTGTCCTCACTTGGTGCTGATGTGATGTCACCTATAATAATTTTACCTGACATGGTGCTGACAGCGCTGGCCTGGGCTGGTCATGGCTCCTGGACCTGAGCCCACCACTGACCTGTGATTTTGAGCAAACCAGCTCAGGTTTCTGAGTCTCACTTCCCAGTCTGTGCTTGGGAAGAGATTGGCCAGGTCATTTCAAGGACCCCAGAGCAGGGCTCTTTGAGGCTGTGCTACAGTGCCTGCCTCTCTGACTCCCTGTCACCCAGCTGGCATGGTGAGAGACCTTGATTGGGCCTCACTGTCCCATCTGTCCACAGTGGAGGCTTAGACTTCCGGAAGATTTTACATCCTGCTTCACTTGTATTGACTGTCAGCTTCAGGCAATGACAGTTCAGTGGAACATAGATTTATAACCAGATTCCAGCATTTAGGGGATCAATCACTCAAAAAATAGTAAACTGTATGTGAACAAAGGATATCAAAAAGTAGTATTTTCAACAACAGGACAAGATTTTGTCACCTTTGAACTTGGTCCCACTTACAGAATCCTAGTTTGTGTCAGTCCTGTTCTCAGCCTGGACTGTAGGTCCCTGAGATGTATGGGATTGGTATTCCTGTAATGCTTGGGACTGGAAGTGTTTCATATTCAGATGTTTTCAGATTGTGGAATATTTGAGGGCTCTTGAGTAGAGGACCCATGTCCAAACATGAAATTCATTTGTTTCCTACAGATCTTCTACACAACAGCACCAAATCAATTCTAAGGAATGTGCCTGCATTTTGTGCATGACCTGCCGCATGAGGTCAAGTGTGAATTTTCCACTTGTGGCCTCAGATCAAAAGTTTTGGATTTTGGAGATTTTCAGATTTTGTATTTTTGGATTTGAAATAGTCTATATTAGATTCATATGTAGACCATACTTAAAGATTCAAATTATTCACTGCAAAACCCTGAATGGGCAACCTCCCAGTCATCCTGTGTTCTCATAAGGAGGTAATGAAAGCAACTTGACTTCATTTCAAGACTGTGAACAATGCAGTATATCTGCACACCCACCCCAGATGCTTAGCCCGGCTACCACGCTATGTAACAAATTATGAATGTGCTTCACTATACATCAAAGACAGTGGACCTATAGTATCTCCAAACAAACTGATGAATAGATAACCAGTTGTCATTTGTTGTTTTCAACACTTTCAAATACCTCCTCTAATAATTTTATCTTTAAACAAATTGTGGATGCATTCTTGAGTTCCAGCTTCCCCAGATAGATAGAATTCATCTAAAAAATAAATGAAGTGCAACCTATTTAAAAAAAAAAAAAAGAGTACTTTCCAGGTTTCTACATGAATTTTATAGCAACACACATGCTAAGAAGACAACTCCCACATTATTTCATTCACAGTGAGAATGAATATTAGAGCAATTCATTCACAGTCAGGGAATTTAAAATTGATTCATGGCTCACGTACTGGGAATAGAAGACTCATTTATAAGGTCATTTGAGAGCTTGGAAGGCAGGTGTTAGCATCTACATTATGATATTCTCAGAACCACTTATTTGTAACACACAACCGATAAATTCAGGTGACCTGGGATGATTTCAAAATGAAAACTGCAATACTTATTCCTCTATATATGCCATCATTAATTACCTACTGGAAAAATCACGAAATTCTGTTAGAACACCGAAGATAGGCAAAATAAAACAGAGAAATGAATTCATTGATTCCAGTAAACCTGTGTTACTTTCTCTTTAATGATTCAAATTTTTTCTGAAAAGCTACTATCATGTGACACTGTCTTATATTTTATATGTTAAAATAAAAATGATACAGTTCTAAGGGGTATCACAATCCCCAACTTGAAACTACTACAAAGCCACTGTGATAAAAGATGTGATTTTTTAATAAAATGGAGTACTACTCAGCCGTAAAGAACAAGAAACTAGAGACATTTGTAGCTAAGTGGATGCACATTGAGGTCATACTCTTAAGTGAAATAAATAGGACACACGTGTAAATACTGAATAGTTTCTCTGATGTGAAAAACTAAAAGTGTAAATAAGGATCAAAATGTATAATTGATGTTGTGTAATAGGAAGAAAATGTCTAAAGGAATAGGGGAAATGGGAGGGGTAGGGGAAAGGAAAGAAGGGAAAAGAAAAATTGGAGAAAAGAAAAAAAATGGGAACATTATTTATAAATAGAGAAGGGTGGAGGGGGTGAAGGGGGGGCAGGGGAATGGGGAAAAAATAAGAACCAAGGTGTATCATGTAAAGGTACAAGATCCCAGTGATGAATGTAACTATACTGTATACCTAAAATGTACCAATAAATAAACTTTATTAAAAAAATGACACAGTTCTCAGAAAAGTGACACCGTCCTGCTTGCAGAACAGCTGACTTAAGCAGCTGTATGGTACATCCCACTCTGTATCTTTATTAACTGTTTTGTAGATTGGCACAGCACTTCGAATTACTCCCTGTAATTCCTGCAAACACCACCTTGTCCTTGAACCAAAGGGCACTATAATTTCTTCACTGATATTTTTCCAACCACATATATTTTATTTT